CATCCATCCATCCATCCATCCATCCATCCATCCATCCATCCCTTTATTGAGAATATTAATGTTTCTCCTTTAAAATGTTCTATAGATTTGATCAAAATTCAGAATAATCTAGTTTGGGCATGATAAAAACCCTCTCAACATTACATTATAGCAGAAAAAAAAATATTACACTTATTTTGTATTTTCCTGAACAATTTGTTTCTCTTTTTTCTTTTAAAGCAAAGGTTCGGTCAGCAAGGAATAATTAATTGCTTAATGGCTTAATTTTCTATACTTAAAACTAATATGTTTGCGGTGATTTAGTGTTTTTAGCTTTAATCAATAAATAAATTTAAATAATAACTTTCATCACGATCACCAAGTCCAGAAGCGGCCATTTTTGCCCAAATATAGTAACACCTCACTACTGACATCTTCCAGCAGTGACGTCACAGTGCAGTAAGCCTAGCGCCACTCTCCTCACTTAAAAGCAAAATCAATGGGAACTACTAGACACATCTGCAATCAACAACAATTATTTAAGATTTCCAGAGGACTTCACCATTGAAATTCACCACAGCTATAGTGAAACTGACAATGCCCACGTGCATGGGGCATCGGGTAAAAGTTAAAATAAATTAGTTATTTCACCTTTCCGATTCATGATCCTCAAGTTGGATTGCCAACTTGAAGAGGGAGGATTTACCATCAAACTTCTGGCCAGAGAAAAAACGCGTAATATGTAGCCAACATTTGGAAGAAGAATGTTTTCAAGATGACTTGGATAATAGCGCGTTGTGACAAACACCAGATACAGCACTGGGACTTGATCAACAGCCGATACCGCACCGTGACGTCACAAACCAGTAGGTGGCAGTAGTGTTCTTTGACAAACATGGATGCCTTCAGTAAAGCACATTCACATGAAAATTATTTATTATTATTAATTAAAAACACTTATTTATTGAACAGTATGTAATAATTTTATATTTAAAGTACTTTTAGAAGTTTGACTGCTGAATATGACCAGAATATTCCTTTAAATATTGTTAAAAATGTTACCCCTAACAATTATAATGCTGTGTAGCTGTCGTCCTTCTCAGTGCTTTACATGTCTATTTAAGCTGCTCATTAAGTCGGCCCTTTTCATTAGTTTTTCTTCCACTCAGGAAGTGTGGCGTGCTGACATGGTATCATGCATAAATTCTGCTGGGACTTTCATGAGACCAAAAAATTTAAAGCAGACCAATGAAAACAACATTTAAGCGCCACTAGTGTCTTTCTTTACTAATCATAGATTAGCTGCTGATTTTAGAGCAAGAAAATAACATTTAAAAACCTTTGCACAGTATTAAAGGTGGGATTTTTAAGTGATGGAGGATAAACAGCTGTTTAAATTGTTAACAGTTAAAGCATCTTCCTTGTGATTTTCAGAACAATAAAAGTTTTCAGGTTTGATCCTTTTGTACGATGTTTTCTCATAAGGTTTCCAGAGATTGTCACACCCACTGTTTAGTTTTAAAATATATTAGGAATCCAGTAATGAGTCTCTGGTGGAGAACCGCTGCAGTCCCTGAATGCATCGATGATTTACAGAAAAACACAGAGCACCAATTGACAGATGAGCAGTGACTTCATCAGGGTCCCTTCTAGCCTCTAGATGGCGCCCTGCAGCTGCTCCTGCAGCACACCATGACGTGAGAAGAGTGACATCAGACTTGTGCAGATGTTTGCACAAACAGCTTTTCTTTTCATTCTTAAACTGTTTAGCTAAGGAGGAAGTCATTGCAATTTAAAACAGGAGCATAAGATAAAGAAGATCTGGGGTAAAACTGCTGTTCTGCCTGATGAATCTTTGATTATCTTCTAGATGTAAAGTAAATGAAATGGCAACTCAGGAATGACAAACTACCCATTGCATTTTATTTCATTCAGTTCTTGTAAATTAACCCAAGTTTGAAAAAAAAAGAAAAGAAATCTTAAAAAAATAAATATCTAGTCTCTTTTTCTGATTCTGGATGAAATATTTTGCATCCTCGTATGTGGAGGTGAAAGAGAAACACCAAACCTCAGCTGCTAAGACCATGAATCACACCAGAAGAATTAAAAGCTGCTTCAGATGGAGATAAATAATTATTAATAGTGTCCAAACAAGATTAGAACAGAAACCTGACTTGCAGCAGCTGCACTTTCAGACCTGATGCTGCTGCTCTGTCAGATCAGCATACACTTAGTTTTTATCTAACCTAAAAATAATTCCGATTCACAATTTAAACCACAGCCAACGTTTTCTATTATTATAAACATGAAAACAAAATCTAACCAAATTAAAATTCCCACACATGGTTTTAATTACTAAATAACTTATTCTAAATTAATATTGACTAATATGGTTTTAGCTATAGAGGCTTCAACATCTTGGAAACTTCAATCATGTCTGGCTGTTTCTAAATCCAACAAATAACAGTATAATCAAAGCTGATTTCCTTTTGTTAGAGTTAAAGGTATTGTAGAGGATTTTCGAACATTTTTTAAAAGACCCGCCCTCTCCATTAAAAAAGAAAGCCCATGCACAACCCTGCACCTGCTACGGAGAGGGAACGCCTATTAAATGCGTGCAAGAGCGTGCACAAGCCGGTTTCTCCTCATGCACGCTCTGTTTAAAGGTTGCTGTTCTCATAGCTCATACAAGCTTACTGTCTCCGAATGTCTGCCCTACTCCCTAAATCAATATGTAGAGCGGGGACTATATAGTGGACTTTATAGCAAACTCAGTTAACTGACCGTTCGGACAGATGATCACTGCTTTTTGCTCCGTTGATCACGTGATTCCTCCTCCGCAGTGCGGTGCCTGCACCATCTTTGTTATTAGTCACCGCTGTCGGGTAGCGACAGCCTATGGCGACAGCGGGCCGCTGTGACAGCAAATCCCACAATGCTTTGAGAGGAAAGCTCTCCGCGCAAAGCATTCTGGGATACATATCCCTTTTTTGAGGCCTTTCTTTTCTTGTCATACACTTCATAGACTCTTTTTCTCTTATGACCCTCGGCAATTTTGAAAGAACCACGGTGAGAAAGATGAGCTTCAATAACCGTCTGAAACCGTAGCTCATCAGATATACGCCTAAAAGTGCGCATCCGCACAAAAAGATAGCTAAGGGGACGAGCGCATAGGATCGCCTCACCTTAACATATCACCAGAATGATTGACAATTAGGAGGACCACTTATTTAAATGATCCACATGTAAAATAAAAGATCGTCCTCTATACCTTTAAATTAAAACTTTTTTGGTACACACTGGATGGTACACTGCTGCTAAAGTTCAATGGGGGAATAATTCTCTGTTGCACATGTGCTCCCATGCATATTAGAACAATGTATGCTGATCTGATAGCACAGGCTGTTCTGACAGAACAGCGGTGCATCTGAATCACTTTGAAGATGCCGTTAGACTACCAACAGCGAAATTCTCAATGCTATTCGCTTGTAGAAACACTGGGCAGAAACACTGGAAGCCATTAGAAGTGTGAAAGGGGATTGAGGAAGACTCGAGGAATATCACAAGGCAACAGCTTGAGCAAACGGTGATGGATTTAGACCAAGATTACAAGTTATGAAGACAGAAACTTTTTCTTTACTATTACTGTTAAGCACAAAGTTAAAATGTTTCTGGATTCTAAATTCCTTTCCACTGTCGCCACATGCTTGTTCAGAGAAGTCAAAGCCTTGATTCAATCAACCAGGCTTCCTTAGTGTGGTCACTGTTTACCAGATTGGTCTCAATTTAATAAGATTAACTGCCTCTGATTGTACTGTTTCACTTTGATTTCAGCTTCCTCACTCTTAATATGTGGATGAGCCACTGAGCAAGGCACTTACATGTTATCTACCATCCTACATACTACTACACAACCTGTCTCTGACACCATCGACACCTCTGAGGTACATGTTCTCTAAGCTACTATGGCTTCCTAATCAAAGTTCTGCTCATATCCTTAGTAAAAATATTCTACTCTGACAGAACAGCACATTCACAGGACATTGCTGCAAGAACCTCAACAAGACCCTTTGGTCCATTTTAAAGAGTCCAAATCCAGCCTGAAAATGAATGAAATCTGCTGTAAGTCTGATATCACTCTTCAAACTCTCTGAGGTGTGTTGTTGATGAAATTACTAACCAAATCATCAAACACTGACCACACTGAGTCCAACAGTTTGTGAAACGGTTTCTGGCTCAGACCGAATCCAGGACTCGGGATTTGCGGTGACAAAAAAATGTGCAAAAATAAATACGAGTAGAGCTGCACAGGAGGTGCCAGAGCTGAGGGAAGGTAATGTGTTTTTTGATTGTTTGTTTGTTCGTTTTTCTTTCCTGAGAAAAAGGCGCAAATGGATCTGAGTGTCACTAAGTGCGGTGGAGCATAAACAGGTGTAAAGATCATCTTGTCCTCTTGAGTCTGCAGTTTTTATTCCAATGATTCCTCTTCGTTATCAAGGGAATCGGGATAAGTGATTCTTCACCAGACTCACTCGTTCCTGCATCCGAAGAAGTCCACGCCGATGTAGCGAGGGTATCCCTCCAACGAGTTCATGCCGACAGGATCAAACTTCCAGTACTGACGTCCTCGGATGAAATGGGCAAAGCCTGCAAAGTGGAACAAGAAAAGATCGTTTATTTATTTCTGGAAACTAAGGAAGAATGTAAAGATGCATCCAACGACATCCCATCAGAGTGAATGAACTGCATCAGAGAGATTATATTAGAGTGGGTTAAATGTTGTTTTTTTTTAATTGCCGCTCAGCTTTTTATATGATTTAAACGTTCTATGGCATGCTAAAGTTTATCTGAATAAGATCTAAAGATAGTTTTCAATGCAAATGACCCTTATATAGTATGCACTCATACCAAAACTACTTAAGTAAAATGTTTAAGACAATCAATCATTATCAAGCTTTTCGCTTCAATAAGGTTACATTCGGGGATGCTGGTCCATCGTCTTTCACACAATAAATAAAAGCAACAACAACAAAATAACGTTGCAGCAGAGGAAAACGGCAGATTTCAGAGCAGCTGCGCTGCCATCTGCAGAGCTGGAGCCTGGTGTGTCTTTGCACACAGGAACAGAAAAACATGGATCAACCCAGACCAAAGATAGCGATTAAACTTTAATACTGACTCTGACCAGAACATTTTTTAGTTCCAGCTAATTATCTATTAACACGAGTTTGAGGTTTGCTCTACTAAACATCACTGCAGTCATCATGAGGGAGAGAGAGTGGATGAACTTGAACCTGAGATTAATGCTCTGGTTGTATTTAGCAGTGTGGGAAAAAAATCGTTTTGCCGATATATTGTGATTTTTGGCTGCCTGATATAATATCGATCTTTCAGTTCCTGGAATCGATTTTTAAAAAACAAACTCTTTCACCTAAAAAAATGAGGGAAAATGGGCTACCTCTGCATCGGCACTCTGGCAGATAGTGCCGTGGAGCCCTTTTGCTGTGTGGCGCAGCGCCATACCTGTAGTTGAGGCAGTCACAGTGGAAGACGTGGACTGACTCTAACCCCAAACAACATGGATACCAAAACAACTAAATGATCAATATCATCTGATAAACATATACAGCACTTGGTCTTTTATCTATACATTTCATTTTGATAGCTGGGAAAAATATGGCAACATATATTGCAAAATTGTGATAAGTTGTGATAGTAAACAATAGAAATCCTCTCTGACAGCTTCCAGCTAGATTTGCATCAAGGTATTAAAAATATCTGACCCTTAGTTCAGTCAGAATCAAATCATCTACTCTTAATGTAGCTAAAAACATTAATAGGTCCTTTAGATCGTCACATGGCTGCAGCCAGTAAATTTCAACAAATACTTTGTTACTTAAGTACACATTTTAGTTATCTACACTTTACTCCATTACTTATTTTTCTTCCTACTTCTGACTTCTACTCATTACATTTTCACACAAGTATCTGTACTTTCTATTCCTTACATTTTTAAGACAAATGTTACTCGTTACTCTTGGCTTCGGTTTTATGTTTATAAATACTTATTTCACATGATGTGTGCCATCCAATGCAGATCATTGGCTCCATCCACATCTAGTGAAAACTAGTGTGATTGGATGAGTCATTGAACGCAAACACTCATTGGTTAGCTAAAGGAAATCATCAGAAGCAAGCAGGTGTTCTACAAACAGCAAACGTGAATTGTCTATGCCATGCTACAATGTTGGATTCAGAAAAAGATGTTGAAATGTCTGAAAGGTCGGACACAGGCGAGAGCGAATTGGGAGACGAAGACCAACAAGACCTCCCTCATCCTTGCCCCTATCTCAAAGAATTTTTCAAAATAGTCGAAAAACTGAACTTTCAATTCACATAGTGGCATCTGGCTGTTTTTTTTAAAGGTTACTTTATACTTTTATACTTTAAGTAGTTTTGGAGCACATACTTTTTCACTTTGACTTGAGTAAAGAGGTCTAGATGATACTTTAACTTTTACCAGAGTGTTTTTAAACTACAGTATCTATACTTCTACTTAAGTAACAAATATGTGTACTTTTTGACACCACTGCAAAAAACTATTTTTTGATGGATTCTGGTAAAGAGGTGGTGAGCAATCAATGTGACAGACTGCTGGTCAGAAACTGATGGTTGATGCAGTTTAACCTGGGCTCGTTATCGAAGAAAAAAAAAGAAGCTATTTTTCCTTCATACCGTGTATGTCCCTGAAGGCAGCATCCACGTCCTTGGGTATACCTCTCCAGTACTGCATGCTGCGTGGGTGCGGGGACTCAACCCGGTTCTCCCGGGGACTAAACCTCCAGTAGCTACCGGACCTGAAGAAGTAGGTGTTGTAGTTGGGGTCGTGACCCCAGCGAAGTGCGGCCTGGATGCTGGGTACGGACAACCCTAAATTTCTGATGGACTCAGGCCCCCTGATGTGCATCTCAGCGTCAAACACCCAGTAGTTATCTCCTGCAGAGACCAAAAATTATTGAAATCTGCATTTCCGTTGATGCCTCGTTAAGACTACAAGAATCCCTAAAGACTTTAATAGAGATTAAATGAAAATGAATAATTTCAATATTATTTATCTTAATGTATCGTTTCAAACTAAATTATCATCCAGGGTAAAATTCAGAAACCTTTTGTTTAACAACAAATATTGAATCATATTTACAAGTTATCCATAAAAATGTTTCTATGTTTACTGCTTTTTTGTACATTCAGCTCAATGCTGTGTTTAATACCAAACCCTGATTCAACCAAAATTTAAAACTGGAAATAAAGGTCTGTGTCTCATCTTTCTTATCTCCTTAAATACTATAAAAAATTTCAAATTCAGCTTTTTCCCACAAGATGTTGTGGTGGGAGGTTTATGGAAACCCCTTATAAATCCATAAAAAGTGTTACTGCACCTCAATCCCTGAGCAAACTCACCTTGGAAGAACCAAATGTTTCCCGATTTGTCCTCAAAGGCGGCGTCGATCTTGCTGGGGATCCCCTTCCAGTGTCGGGAGGCCAGCGCTGGGTAACCACTCTCCAGGCGCCCAGATCCTCCGGGGTCCCTGATTCTCCACACGTAGCCCGACTTAAAAAAGAACAGCTCCCCTCGGATCATCGAGACGGCGTCAAAGTCTGTCTGGCAGGCGTCAGGCTGCAGATAAAACAGACAACGTTATAATTCTAAAGAAAAAAACCACTGGAAAGCAAAAACCAATCAAACATATACACCAATATATTTATATGAATACCAACAACAAAAACATAATAAAAACACTTTATAAAAACAAATCATAATTTACTGTACAGGTTTACTTTTCGTACATAAATCTTGTCCTTCTGAGGCTTTGTGAAGGCAAATCTGTGTTTTCCAATATTGTGTTGCAAACTTAAAAAAAAACAAAAAAAAAAACAATTTACCAGTTTAGTCAGCTTTATATTTTTTAATATATAAAAACTATTTATTTCTGAGAATGTGTTTATTTATGAGGAACTATGCAAATTAACAAACACCTAGAAAGAGTAGACTATAATTTTCCAGATAGTTCGTTATTCTTTGCCTTTTCTAAAAAGTGCTTTAAATCAGTCCGAGCTGTCTTTCTCCATGCTGGGTCTGATCCTGACCTTTGAAAAAGGAGGCAGGGAAAGCAGAATAAAGCTACTTGCTGCCTGCCAAGCCTTCTTGCAAAAGATTTTTGCGCCCTTGGGTGGAAATACGTCACCAAAATCGAAGAGAAATGGAATGAAGCTTTACTAGTCATGAAAGATTTAAAATTGATCTTGCACATCTAAAAAATATATAGAGATATATTTTGAAATATTTTATATTTTAATTTAAAATAAAAAATATATAAATATATATATATTTTTATTTTTTTATTTCTATGTTCTAATCAGGGTCATTGGGTGTAGGGCGGCACACTAGCGCCCTCTATTGGCCAGCTGCCACTGCTGGAAAGGTTTTCTTCTAATGGAGATAAAGTGATAATAGGGCCTACTGGCTGATTCCTACCTGACTAACGTTCATCTGTTTCCTGAGGTACAAACTCATGTTTGTTTAACTGATAAAATGCATTGAAGGCAAACATATTTGCATGTTTGAATCTTTAAAAGAAAATGAGGCAAATGTGTTTTTAAGTAGGTCATTATTCAAATTATCACAGGCTGCACTCACATTAAGGTCGTTGGTCTCTGTGTTGGTAGGCCGAGCCCGTGGAGCCGGGGTTGGCGGTGGGGGTAGGACCTGTGTTTTAGCTCCGTACAGGTACTGGATGCCTTGCTTGTCGTCCTCGCTCAGCCTCAGCGGGTAGGAGAAGGAATAGTAAGCGGACATGATGCTTTTTGGTTTACGCGAATGCTGCAGGCCCAGGACATGCCCAAACTCATGAGCGGCGACCTGCAGAAGGTCTGTACCTGCAGGGAGGAGGGGAGAGTTCATACGGGGTCTGAATACAGGTGAGTGTTTGTTTTGACCTGCTTAAAGCAGCAGACTGTGGGGATTTAACTATTTGAGTCACCTGAGTCAAACAAGAAAAAAAGGCCCTTTACCTGCTGATTCACACCTGTTCTCACTTATCTGCTCACGTCAAACACACATATATCAGACATGTTAACCTTTAGATAATCATTCATCATACAAACCTTTTACCAATTACATTTTTAAACATTATTAAAAAAAGTGGTTAACCTCTTTGTTTTACTGGTTTGCTTCTTCTTGCACATCATACATACTATGATTTATATGCACATGATAAACTGTACATACTTTAACGGATTAACAGCTTTTATTATCTGGTTTTTTTATTTCCTTTTTTGCTGCAAATCACCTGTAACTGTCTGTAAAAACGGATCTGAATCCATTCAGTCCTTCTACATACAGAAGGCAGGTTTCTCTGCTTTAGCACAGCTGATTCAGAGAATTGCAGTTCAGCAACATCCTGTTAATCAGCCATCAATTAAAATCAGTTGTGCTGGAGCAGATGTTCTAACTTCTAACCCTGTAATCCCACATCCTTCGTAACCAGGCCGCTCCTGACCGCCTGTGCAAAGCAAAGCCTCCAGCCTCCGCTGTTCCTCCCGTCTTGCTCTGCTCCGACTTCCTCAGAGCTCGAGCAGAGCATGCGCGATATTATTATTAAATCACAGGAGAAAAACATGCAATAATGAAAACTTAATTTAATATGACGTATAAAAAAAAAATCCCATCAGCATATGTGCAGTTTCTGCCCAAATATGTTCTTTTTGTTGTAGATTTTTGTAACAGGGATAACTAGGCTCATACATGGTTTGTATGAACTACGTATTTCTCTACCTGTTTCTCTTCATCCACGCCTGCGATAAGAAATTTCTTTTGAAGTTGTCTGAGGTGCTGTTGGGCATTTTGACTGGATTTGATCAATTTTTTTAGCCTCTCGGTATAAAATTAATATTTTGATTAAGATGAGAAATCAGCTTCCTGGTATGTTGAAGTACCAATAGTTTGCATCCAATAATTTAAACAAACGGTCTTAGTTTTTGGGAATATATAAGAATTATGCTGTAATTTGTAGTTACCGATCTGTGGTTACCATATTTTAATATGATAAACTGGATCTTCTTGCCATTCTTTGTCCTGTTTAGTGCAATTGCAATTCCGGATCTTGACCTGGTTGGACCGGAGTGGAGCAAAAAATAACTCGGCTCCTTATTTTAACTGGGACGGACGGAGAAGACGTATGTGGATGGTGACGTGCGGAGGAGTAGCGGTGGATGTGGAACAGTTCTCATTGGTTAACATGAAAGTATTCTGCACGATGTAGGTTAGCGGGGCGGAGCAGAGCGCTGATGGAGCAGGTGGACAGCACCCCTCAAGGACTGACTTTGGGCATCAATCATATAGAGCAACTAATAACAACAAATACTGGAATCAAATGACTTGATATGCCTTGTTTTGTGCAAATAATACTTTACAAATAGGTTGTGGGTTTTTTTTTAGATAGTTTTCAGTCTGATGTGAACATTGACTTAGCCAGAAATAGCAAACAGAATAGGCAGTTCTGCTTTATATTTCTACACATCATCAAGTTATTTTTTATTAAATATATGAGGAAAATATACAAATAAGACACACATTTCAGGTCTGATAGTATTTTTGATACATAGAAGCATACATTGTTCACTTTTAACAAAGTTTCTAACTTTTAGAGCAAACTTCACAGTAAGAACAAACTCACAGACACAAAGTAAAGTGATCCAAACACTCACCCATGTGATTCCCCAGGGTCCAGGTCTCGTCGTAGTCAAAGTGAATGTCGCCCTGTCGATGTGTTTTTGGGAAGAAAGCATGCGCTAGAATCCCACCCGGACCGTCAAACGGGAGGCTGTCTCCATGCCAGTAGCTGCATATGAATGAAACAAACACACCAATCAGAAACAAACTACTTTGTAAAAAAAAAAAAAAAAAAAAAAAGATGTCCTCTCATAAATCTCACACAAGTCAGAAGTGATTAAGTATTTTTTTGGCGATTTTATCAATAGTTCTTAATATCAAACTGAAATAAGTGCATAAAATTGACTTAAATATTCTGTTGAGATTATTCTGAGGTTCACTTTATCACTTTAGCATTTCCGCATAAACATTTCTGGGATGCGACAATAAGCTTTAAATGCAATGATTCAAACGGGAAAACCACAGAAATGATTACAGAATAAAAACCCAGAGTCAGCAGATACCAATCGCACATAAAGCATTAGTGTCAGCAGAGTGGTGCCTGCTTGTCCCCTCTTGCTCCATTATCTCTGTCCTCATCTTTACAGCTCTGTAAATCTCTTTGTAGCACAGCTGTTTGTCAGAGTCTCATGCTATGTTTGGCTGGTGTAACAAAAATTATCAACATGTTTTTATCCAGAACACAGTTTAGACCAACAGAAGTCCACTTTTATCTTAACAATTAATTTAATATTTGTTGTTCAAACAACTAATATTAAAAACAAGAATTGTTTTAACAACTTGAAAGAGTATTAAAATATTAATTTGTACTCGTCAAAGTTTTTTTCTCAATTATTTTTCCACTCACTAATGAAGGAGAAGAATCTCTCCTTCCACCGTCGAGCCAAAGGGATTTTTCTGTGCGAATAAATCAAGCCTGTTCTACGCTGAACAATGCAAACAGTAACATGCAGCAATTTCTAAGCTTTATTTAATGTTCACAGCAAACAGAGGGTGATCCTCTCTGGTTCTGAACATGGGGACACCTCAGGGCTGTGTGCTCAGTCCACTCCTCTTTACTTTGTTCATTCACCGCTTTCCACCCCAAAAACATACTTGTGATTAATACAACCATGATGGATCTCAACAACAACAAAGATGAGACTCACTGCACAAAGGAAATCCACCATCTAATCCAGTGGTTTTCAGAAAACCTTGTCCTGACCAGCTGTCATGATTTTGGCACTGATGGCTGGCTTGATTGCTCATTTCTTTCACCTGTCTAGCTCTGTCCTGTTCCTGATCAGAATCACCTGTTCCAGATTCTTATTTAAGCTCTCTGTTTCCCAGCCAAATGTGGCAGATTATTCTTGAGCATTTGGTGAAGAGAGTTTTCCAGGGTACTTATTGTCCTGATTATCTGATCCTGACCCGTTTTTGCCTTTGGACTTCTGAGCCTGCCTGTCCCTGTCTTATTAGTTTTGCCTGCCTGTCTCCGGTCTCCTGTCTGTTCTGCAGCCTTCCATGTCTGGAACTCTCTGGCAGCATCTGCTGCTTCTGTTGGGTCAACCGACTGGAGCCATCGCCATTCTTTAGACACTGGATGGAGCTCTTAAACAAGGTTAGTGACTCGCGCATAAATAATCATCTTCCTTCAGATTATCGCAGTCACTAATCTGTGTTTCTCTCCCACAGAGCTTCAGTCATAGATGCCCTAACCACTGAAACCGCAGATCCACAGCCCGCTCTTGTATTAAGAATAAACGCTTTTAAGTAATTCACTGTCTGTCTCGCTTGAGCTCTGGCTACTACGTTCTGAGCATATTACACTAGCAAAACCAAGTAAGCTAATGTGGATATCAGTAATGTCCACAAGTATGTATAAAGCCATGTTCCAGATACACATAGGCAGTAAAGAGTGAGGATAACATTAACATCCTGGGTTTTCACATCTTCTCTGACTTCTCAAGAACTCATAACACGAAGACTGAACAGAGCCTCTTAAGGGCTGGTTATCCCCCCGAAGCAGTGTGTCGCAGTGAGCTTGTTGCAGGTAGTTTTGATTTATGCCCAGTTTTGAAGCATGGTCTGCACTATAGTATTCCACGGCAAAATGCAAGACGGACAATCATGAACTAGCCGTGGGTCTAGATATGGCCGAGGCGGTGAGGAAGTGGGGGCAAGTTTGTGTGACAAGGCAGGGACATAACACGCACCTCGCTCTTCTAGCTGGTCCAACTTCACGAGTCGTTTTCCACAATGGCGGTCATACAAACAAAACAAGACGGTAAGGTTCCAAACAGGAAATACGCATAGTGTAGAGTGGTTGTAGATCTGACCAATCAGAAGCCTCCTGTCTGCAGCACTGTCTGCGGTCACCTACAATTTTGGAGAGGTGCATCAGAGCGTCTGCGGAAGGAGCGGGGGAACATTTGCGTTCACTGTGGCATACACGCAGACGACCTGGTTTCTGAGTATAAATCAGATTTTATTCCTCAGGAAAAGTATAGGACCATCCTTCAAAGGGCTCATTATCTTTTTGATGAGCCACAACAGAGTGCATCTTATGTCGAAGTGTAACACTGTGGTACTGAAGCTTCATGGCACAGGAAAGAAACCGCCTTGACGAGGTGATTAAAAAAACATGGGATGTCCACGCCCTAAACACCGGCTGAGATTAGAGGAGACCCAAAACCATCTCCGCTGACTCCTCCCACCCTATAGCACAGCCTGTTTAAAGCACGTTCTTCAGGAAAGCAGAATCATCCGGAAAAGGACTAACAGGTTCAAAAAAGACTAAATTTACATTTTGCTGCAGTTTTTTGCTCATCACTGTATGTTCTTTGTGTCGTTTATTCAATGGAAACAATTCCACTTTGTATTAGCTTCTGCTTATGCATTTCGACAAAGAACATTCATATCCCCTTTATCTTATCCTCTTTTTTAAGAGCAGCAGCTTTAATGAAACCTGCAGCTCCTCAGGCCTCTTGATGAGTTAAAAACTTCTGCTCAAACTCTGAGTCTTGGATCTGAACTTTGCAGATTCTCTAAACATAAGATCATCTCTACTGGATCAGTACCAAATAAACAAGGCCTGGTTGAATCATTGTCGGTCTCTGCTAAAGCCAAACATGGTTGACCAGAACCAGGAGTGTGAATCTGTGAAGTCGACTGGATCAAGCTAATTCTCTTCAGGCATCTTAAAGCGTTTGGAATAAAGTTAGGGACAGTTACAGTAGTATGAGGTAAGACGTCTATCCTGTTTATGGATGAGTCACAAGTAAGTAGAATTTGTGCTTAAATGAAAAGTAAATGTGTACTAAATGAAAGTAAATCCCAAAGAGGAGGAGGCGCCCCCTAGGGAAGACAGGTGTAATTGCAGGGGGACGTGGCAGAATGAAATGGAATATACCGGGCCTTTTTGAGAAGTATTTTATAAAGAAATTATTGATAGCAATGCTAAATTCTGTCACACAATACAATAATGAATTAAAAATTAGAAAGTTTAAACGTTAGTTTTATGTTTTAACAGACTTCAGTATGCAGTTTATTTTTCCTTGTCCAAGCGTTGAAAAGGTTTGTCGTTAACTTGTAAATCAAAGGTGTCCCAGCAAATGGAGTTTGGGGACCACTATTCCAGAATAGGATGTGTTTATTTTCATGCAAAAGCAAACTTTCAAACTAAAAGTCAGAATGAATAGAAAACATGCGTCTCGTTCCGTTTCCGCTTTGAGCTGTTACCTGGAAAAGTCGATCCGGATATCCGCCGTCCCTCTGCGGACCTCGGTGAAGGTGAGAGGTGTGACATCACTCCAGATCTTCACCGCCTCCCGAAACACACGCCGCACCTTCTCCTCGTCCATTTGCCAGGGGAAACGTACAATCCTGCAGGAAATCAGCACAGGTGTCAATGTCAACGCATAAACACAACAAGCACGGCGGCGGGGAGGGACCACCAGCGACGATATCTCTTATCTCTGCAGAGATGGAGGGGAACTGTTACTGATCTCTTTCCTAACTGTTCAGATAACAACCACCCAGAACTAGGAAAGCCATGCAAAATGGAAGCATTAAACCAGCTCAAATTTTTTCCTTTTTTTCATAAATCTGTCTTAGAAAAGGCAAAGTTATTCGTTCTGATAGCACAGAGGATCGAAGTGACTACATCAGTGGTTTGTGCACTGGGTCAGGGTTGTTTTTAACTTGTGAGCTACCAGCATGATGTAACTCAGGGAATTGTACATTTTTAAGCATGTGGGTTAATGTCGGAGCAGTCACAACACGTTCCGCTTGCATTAATTACTGCTTTTCTACAGCAGTGATATAAAAGCTGGCTGAGCTGACCAAGCATGTTATTTTGCCCCAGGATGTCAAACTATAATTTTTCTGTTGCATAGAGACAATAAAGGTTAAACAAACATGATAAACGGGGTTAGCTGGGGATATTTAAAAGGGACATTTTCTGTGTCCGCTCACATCTCATTCTAGCTGATAAAAACATTAGAAAACTCTGAAAATAATTAGTTTGAACACGACTATCAAAACACTGTTGCAACCTCAGTGTAATTAATCAGCTTTCTTGCATCCTTCATTCGTCTGTTTTGAGTTTGAGGTACAGGTTGAGACTTGAGAACATATGATGGAAAGACTGCAAGTACTGAACGTGGAAGAGTTCAGGTATCTGCAGGTAGATTAAAAAGATGAAGAGGAAGGTGTTCAGACATAGTGGGGGGGATGGAGAGCAGAGTGATTGGGGGATTTGCAATGCATTCTGGGATATATCTGCCTATTCTGAGGCCTTTCTTTACTTCTCCTACACTTCGAAGACACTTTTTCTCTTACGACCCTCTGCCATTTTCAGAGAAGCGTGGTGAGAAAGGTGAGCTTCAATGACTGTCTGAAACCGTAGCTCACCACATATATACGCCTGAAAGTGCGCATGCGCAGAAAAATATTGCTATAGGTTGACAATTAGAGGACCGCTTATTTAGATGATTCACCCGGAAATAAAAGATCATCCTCTGTACCTTTAAATTGTACCTTACTGTGATTTTGTGTGCTGTTGCCCCTCTACAAATCTCAGTTACCGCACCCTCCTAAATTACTATGAAATGCTATTGGAGTCTAATTGGAAAATGTGTTTTATAACAACACATAAAAGGAAGTAAATAAAACTAAAAAGATCAATCTATTAACAGAGGATTAAACATAATTCAAATATTAGAGTCACTGAGTTTCCCATAAAGTTTCACCTTTTTTTGTCTTCAGATTATGTTCAGGGTCTGACTTCCTCTCCTGCTTCCTGTCAAACACTCAAAACGTTAACATTTTGCAGCCATCTGGGACGTCCTTCAGTTCAATTTAACTGTTAAAGCAGTAAAAACAAACACGGCTCTAAACTCGCCCTGCGTGACTTCACGCTTTACGCAAGAACTTCTTCCAAAAGCTCAAATTAGTGACCGATTCTAAATAAGACTAAATACAGGAGGAAAAGAGCATTGAGTGTAAAAAGCGTAGAGTAGGTGGGGTGCAGTATGACCTGGTGGGCCGTTGCCATGGTTCTTGTTAACCACATCACTCAGGTGTCACTTATATCGACGAGATCCAGCAGAATCTAATTAGTCTGCGGCTAGTTCTGCCTCCTCCTCCCCCGTCCTGCTTTCTTTCGGTGTGCCCTAATATGCTGTTATGTTAAAGAATGAGTACAATGAGAGGGACCCCAGGAGACGCAGACAGAGAGGCAGCAGCCAGCAGACGCCGGCCAACTCTCGACGGTGCCACAGTCCCAGATGAAAGAAAACCAGCACCTCTTTGTAAAAATCATAAACCTATGACTTCATTTCAGATTGTTCTATCTGCTTTCTCATCTTTCATTGCTTTTCTTAAGTCTGTCACTCATTTTTTTGATATTGGGCTCCAGTTAAGCTAGCTGCTGCTTTTGAACCTACTTATCAGCTGCTGTTTGGTCCTGAGAAAATGATTAAGTTATTTTTGTTCCCTTGTGGAAACATCTGCTCACTGCAGCTGGAAACTCAGGGACGCTGTGTAAGCTGCAGGTTTTAGTCAGAATCTTCAGGTCAAAACAAAAGCAGCTTTAGAAAATGTTCACTGTTTAGAATCGCATTAATAAACCTCTGCAATCCATTGTCCATTGCTGCTTATCCTTGCGGGGTTAAGGGGGGGTCTGGTGCCTATCTCCAGCGGGAAGTGGTTGAAGGCAGAATGCACCGTAGACGGATTATTGGCTCATGAAAGAGCAACACAGGACAAACAGTTTTCTCCGGATTACTTGGAGAGAACTCAAATTCATGGAGGGAGCATACAAACCCCATGCAGAAAGATTAGGCCGGTTATTAAAGCCAGGACTTTCCTGCAGCAATGAAACAGTGCTGATGACTAGTGTTGCACCGATATCAATACCAGTATCGGGCGGGGCCCCTATCCAGCACTAAAATGGTAGTATCATATCGGAAAGTACCAACAAATAGGGCACCGATACCATTTTCAATTCAATTCAATTCAATTCAATTTCAATTCAATTCAATTCAATTCAATTTTGAGAGCCAAAAGTTTATCCAACTATTGTCACCAATGCCAGGTAGGCAATAAAAAGTTCTACTGGATTCCCTTTGTATTACTCTTCTTCCTGCTTCACAAAGGTAGGCAGATGCTTGACAAAGCCATGATGGCAATTATTTTACATCCAAGTAGTGTGCAGTTCTTCAAATATAGACACACACACAATTTCAAACAGATGGTATTGGTATCAGCTAATACTGCACAGCCAGGTATCGGTGCCAAAAAATGGCACTACTGATAACTAAGCGAGGTAATATGATGATTGATTGATTGACTGATTGACTTTATTGATCTCATAGCGGAGAATGTGCCACTGCCAAAGGAAGAAAAAGGTCCATGGGATGCATAAGATATACAATGAGATAAGGGATACACAATGCCAAGAAACAAAGCCTTAAAGAAGAAGCTAACTGCTGATCATTTTCAAGTGAAAATAAAATTTTTCCCAGAATTGGACGTCTCAGTATGTGAAACGCCTGGAAACAGCTAAACATCCAAGTGCTCCATCCCTCATTTCAGAAAAATGTTAAAGTGAATGTCATGACAGACAGAAAAATGTTAAGCAATATCAGCTTTGGAACAACTGAAGAGGAGTCGCTCTTCCGGAGAGAAAATATGGCTCAGGGTTAGCAATGCGGCGCCTGAATGAACCACAAGGCTGTGGCCCAATTAAACAGATCCACAATAGCGGATGCTTTTGACTGTAATTCACATCAACATGAACACCACAGCCTGTCAGCACAAACACAGACCGTTAAACATGGTGGTGGACAGTTGATGATACGAGTTTGTATTGCAGCAGAAGAGTTTAGGCACTTGGCAGACATTTACTTATCTATTTTAACATAAATTCCTCTGAAGTCAAATATCAAGACATCTGAAGCTTAACAGGACAATGATTTCAAACAGAGCAGCACATCTTCAGGAACAATGACTGGAAAATAAAACCAAACATGTCGTTCCAAAACATCAACATAACCAAAATAATATACTGTGGTGGCGCCTTAATAATCTGAGCAGAAACAGATGTCAACATTTATCAAACAAATGAAGCATCACTGAGGAGAAGGCTGCCCCAGCCACCATGCGAAGGAAACTCATTTCAGCCGCTTGTATTTGCGATCTTATCCTTTCGGTCATTACCCAGATCTCATGACCATAGGTGACGGTGGGAATGTAGATCGATCTGTAAATTGAGAGCTTTGTACCCAGACTCGGTTTCTTCTTTACCACGACAGTCCTATACAGCGACCGCATCACTGCAGACGCCGCACCGATCCGTCTGCCAATCTCACACTCCATCCGTCCCTAACTCATGAACAAGACCCCGAGATACTTGAACTACCGTTAGCTTAAAGTGGTTCATAATATGCGCTAAATTACCCTTAAATATTCAAAGTATGCTGCTTTTAATGACAATTTAGATAAACACTGTAAATTTAACAAACTAAAGTAGTGAATTTTGCCAAACTTAATCTCCCCTGTAAGAAACTGAATACACTGAGTCATCTTTAATAAAAATGTAAACATACTTGTAGGTAAGGTCCTTCTTATCAAAACGGCCTCCATGTAGCACGAAGCGTCTCTGGCGATGTCGTCCTCGGTACTGTACATCCTTCTGGCTGGGGAAGTCCGGTACGCCACAGCGAGGACGGTTCCAAGTATTCGAAGCATTTGTTGATGAAATCGCCTCCTTTACCAAGTCCTGGGGGTGAGGAGCCTTTCCTCTCTTCTTCAGGGCCGGGGACTTCTCAGAGGCCTGAAACAACAAGGAGTTCAGTTATCCTCCAACAGTGTTTAACACATGCAGCCAAATATTAGTTTTATAACTCAGATCTGTGTTTGGGTAAAAGATGACCTTTAATTGAATAAGAGTTCACTGAGTTTACTAGAGCTCGTTCTGCAGAGATCATGCATATCTGACCCACATTCAGCTTAATGACAGCTTGACCTCCTCACCAGGTCACGGATCCACGTACTTCCACCCCATCTATGGTCCCTGAGTGACCCATTATCCCTAATGCCCCCCTTCAACCCGATCCAGAGGAAATGACTCCACTCATTTCCACAGAAGCTAATTACAGAGCAGAGCCATCCCATCGCCACCTCAGTCCATACCCTCCGAGAAAAAAAAAAAGACCTGCAGTCCGGGAGTGAACAACACTGCAGGGTGTACTCTCCCTATCAAGAAATGATATACATTTCCCTTTCCGCTGCTGCTTCCAACAACCTGTGGGAAAAGACGGTATAATTTCATTGTGCTGAAATGAGACTAATTACCTCCATCAGTGGATCCTGTCAGTCTGATGTGAGCTGCGCTGTTACATAAGGTCTAATTCAGAGACTGCTGTTGTTTTCATGTCGTCTTATTTATGACATTCTGCAACAAGCATCACTTCAGCTCTAAGGAAATGATCCATTAAAGAAAAATACTTATCCCTTTTATACTTTTTCAATAAATGATTGGAGGATTTGACATTTTATTGGAAATGAATGTCATTTAAAAAACTAAGCTTTTTAGTTTTAACTTCTCCCTGCAATTCCTTCTAATTTCTCCACCTCTTAAGGCCAATCAGCGAACAGCTCACAGTCTATTAGATTGGTGAAACAGTGAATCCAACTAAAAAATCCATCTTAAAATCAGAATCTAAAGAGCAATATAAAATGAACTGTTGGGAAAGGACAAAATAGAACAAAGCAGTTAGAATAAAGACAAAGTGAAACAGTTGAGGCCCAATCAGGAAAACAGACGCCCAGGTGAGGCAAATATGGAAACAACCAAGAAAGACCATAACAGATTAAATCAGAACACATGGAACAAGCCAACCTTTGCCCAAACAGAGAGCAGGGGAAACAAACAGAACAGAGATGACCAAGATAAGCCAACACAGAATCAAAGCTTCACCGCAGGAACCCACAGATGATGAGAGTGTCTCTTGGTGGTTCTGTAAGGTGAGATGTTATTTATGAAAGACCCACTGTGCCGGTGTTTCCTCCTCCTGACCTGTGACCTCTGTAAAACAAAATACCACTCAGAACAAAAAAAAAAAAAGAAAAAAGTAGATATCTTCTTTCTTTCCCCTACTTTAAGAGTTGACCCATTAAATCTGTATGGACAGTATAATATTCCTCAGAGGGAAGCCAGACTCCTGTTTGTGCTGCGTTTCAACGAGCTGCTCCACAGTGTCGCTGATGTAGGTTTGAGGGAACAAAACCCAGCGGGATTCGTGGAATGTGCTCCAGATTGCAGAAACCGAGTGACTGATGGGTCTGAATCCCAGAAAAAACAACTGCACACACCTCACCCCCCTCCACTCTTCACCGGCTCCTTTGTTTCACTTTGTTTGGAGCAGATTTCAGCTGCTTATTCCACTGCACACAGCACTTATTCATGTCAGAGGGGATGTTTATGTTCACATCCATGCAGCTCAATCTAAGCGCCTTGTTGGCGCAAAATGAGATGCAGCTTCTAAACAAAAGACCTCAGAAAGGTCTCTATCCACCCGCGGAAAGCCTGCTTCTGGTTAAGCCTCTGCTTTGCTTTTGTACTGGAAGAAATGTGTAAGACCAGTGTGATATGGGCTACTATCTGCCTTCCTGGAACAGAGGCAGATAACATGTATAAAGACAAACAACTGAAGCCTTATCATGGGATAAAGCAGCTCCAAATGCCATCAATTTAAAGGTTCCAAGATAAAAAACATTGAGGTTAGATAGAAGATGTACATCCAGTAAAGGCACCGAGTTTAGCCTTAGGAGGGCACAGATGATCAAACAACGATCCAAAGGTCAGAGGTCAAGACGGTCCAGAGGACTGGTAGAAACCTTAGTGAACTAAAACATCCACATCTGTTCTTTATTTTACTTATTTCAACAGAAAATCTGGTCCCCAAATCAACAAGTGCATAAGATTTACACATCCTCCACACCAATGCATACTGCAGGTAGATGTGTGTAAACAGCACTAAAATTAAGCATCTTTTATTGGCTTTACATCATCAAAATGCAAATCTTACATCTTAAGGAAATCACAGGGCATTTGTTGAGGATAAAAAATCTAAGAGATTAGAATGGCAAGTATGTTTTTTTCTGGTATCAGACTTTTTGAAACCACTGAAAGCTTGGCTTCGCTGGGTTTTAGGCTCGCCTTTTTTTCCCATCCTGTGGCTTCGATGTATTGTCTGTCCGCTGGGATGGGGGATGGCTGGCATTGGATGGGGGTCTTGGACCTCATCCTGCCAGGGGAGCTGGTTGGTTGGTGTGGCTTTACGGGATACCCCCACCATGCCTGGATGCATCTCAGATAGTGGTGTTGGTCTGTCTGGTTGCCTTTCCTGTGCCTGCAGTCAGGTGGGGATGCAGGATGCAGGGCTTGGAGAGGCTGTGACTGGCTGTAGGGGGTTAGTGGTATATGGGGGGATGCCATGGAGGGGCTTTGGCCGGCTACGTCGTGGAAGGGGGGGTCCCTCCTGGGGTCGGGTCTGGGGCGATGTTTGGGGATAGGCTTGGGGTACACTGCTGTTTTCCTCTCTTAGGCCCCGTCCACACGAAGCCGAAGCCTGGCCTAAACGCACAAATTTTTCACCAAACCAGCCTCTCATCCATACGAAGCCGGCGTTGCGGGGTCTGTAAACGATCTTTTTTTATTAAGCCTTCAGAGTGGGAAGATTTTGAAACGCCGTTTTCGCGTTTCCATCTTTAAGGTCTGACCACATTTTTTTTTTACACGCATGCGTCATAGCGTCGCCTCTAAACACGCATGCGCGACACAGTATCACAACAACAATGGCGCCGTACTGTGTTGAATGCTTGCTGCTCATGCTACTCACCCTGCTGTCGGGCTTACAACAGAATCTTCTTCTTCTGGAATATCTCCAGGAAGAACAGAGCATTATCGACGACATAGTTCAGCACCTGAATTTGACTGAACCACGAAAATGGACCCGCAGGGCAACCATGTATAAATATTAGTGCGCATGCCCAACATTTCGTCGCCTATTTTTGCTTTGGCACCACAGCGCCACTTACAGGCCTGGCATACATTTTGCAGCGTTTTCATGCATTCGTGTGGACGATCACATTTATTTTACGTCTCCGTCTTTACGACAAACGTTCTCGAAAATATTAGCGTTTCGTGTTCGTTTTGACTTCGTGTGGACGGGGCCTTAGTTTTGGAGCCTTTTCTTAAGCCGCCTGCCCCATTGACACTAGGGTGTCTGGTGATTGCCTAGGTGGAAAGGCCCCTAGACCCAGGAGGATAGTGTAGGAAAACGTTTTTGTCTCCGTTAACTGCGTCTCTGTGGAGACTATATGTATACATTCTATATTATGGGTGGATTGTGCGAATGGGACGATGAGTGTGAATTTGTCTTTCTCTACTAGTCAGGTTGAGTGTTTGCCCCCCTCCAACCTACTAGAACATTGCAGTTCCAAAGTATGAGCAGATCCCGTATGCTGATGATAGGTGCCTGTGTCTGCTGCCGCGGTAATGGTTCTCTAGTTGTAGGGTTTGGTACTTCGGTGAGCGCTGTCTCATTCCTAGTGGCTGCCCTGCCAAGCCTGTGCCTCCTGGTCCTGGGTCCTTGGACCCCTAGGCTCTCATCCAGGTCCACCTCGGATGTGACCAGCTGCCGGTGGATCCCATGGGCTTGCTGCTGCAGCCCCTTGGGTCCGCGGCACTATGACCTCTGGGGTCGGGCCCCTCAGGGACTAGGGCCCTTTGGGGTTTGGCCCCTCAGGCTCTGGGTGCTCTTGTCTGCCCTTCTCTGGAGTGTGCGACCACCCCTATGTCTGCCCTCCTTGTGTCCCTGTGATGTGGGGTGTCTCTTGATATCTGGGGCTCGCATTCCCTCTCTGTCTGTCAGGGGCCCTGAAGGGCGAGTCTGGGGTCGCCCACACCTGCTATTTATCATATTTTCCTTCTGAAGAAGCTAGTTAAATCCTTTAAACCCGAACATGCTAATATATACATACCACAGGAGTTTGGTCTAGGTGTTCACGGATACACACTAATACTAAGCTGCAGCTACAGAGATATACCACCCTGAATAATATTATGTACTCGCCATAGGTTTTGCCTTCAACATGCATGGTTATCTTAGGGACACCCGCTGCTCTTGAAGCATTTTTTTGTTTACTTTGTTTGTCTGTTTTCTTCTTCTTTTTGCTGGTGTTATGTTCTCTGTTTTTATATCCCCTCCTCTCATACAGGTATGGAAGCAGGCTTCTAGGAGTTGCTGTGTCACTTCTGTCTATTTTTGCTCTTTTGTTTTATTTTCTCACATTTTAGGTGCTATTTGCTGTCTCGATCTCTTTCTCTCTCCCCTTAGTTATTATCCCCCGTTTCTTTCTCACCTCCCTTTCCGTCTCCATGTCTGTTGTATACAACATTACTCCCTAAATCATTTTCAATTAAGTTTCATATACAAGTACCAAGGATCTCATGGCAATGCCCATAATGATCTTTTATGAAAGCAAATCTGTTTGGCTATCATCTAAAACATCTAAAACAGAAGACAAAACAGAACACACAGAAAAAAGAAACCCCTACTTTTAACACCAAACAACTCCCCTTTTCAAAAAGAAATGCACTTAATCACATTCACAGGGTTGGAGCTTGAGGAGAGCTGGATCATATGGGATCTGCACCACCTCTCTAGGTGGCCCAAAGACCTTTATTCTCACTGATGCCCTCAGCCTTTCAACTGAGCTCACAGGCTTTCTGTAGGATTTTTGGGGACTGATGGAAGTTTGATAGTG